CAACATGGACAATTACTAAATTAAGCAATGCAAAATCTTCTTCTGAATATCTCACCTGTTCTTCATGAGATTAATAACGCGTAAAGCAGAGATTCAACTCCTTCCAGTATAACAATTTGAGTCTTAAAATTTCAAAGACAAGTTATATTAGACAAAAGATTGGAACATTTAAGATTTGAATTTCTACGTTGAAAACATTGAAACATGAAATCGAGTAGTTCATCGCGAGATTACTAACTCATAAAGAAGAGATTCAAGTCCAAGTATAACAAATTAACATTTTGATTATTTTCAAAGAAAAGTTGAATTAGATATTCAAGATTAGAACACTTCCATTGCAGATTCAAAACTGAGAACACCCAAACCAAACATCAAATCAAGAACAACCAAGGCTGGAAAATTAATTCTTCTAGATTTTAACTAACTCGATCGAAAAAACTGTACGTGGAACCTAGAAACGCACGAGGAACCCAGATCTGGGTTGCACGAGGAACCTAGCTGGGTTCTCTGTGAAACCCAGAAACTAGGTTCCACGGAGAACCCAGGAAACTTTAATTTGAAGAGGGATGATGAAGATAATGGCGAGTAGGATGCCAAGGAGGAGGAGGAGGAAGAGGAGGAGGAGGATAAGAATGAGAAGAAGGAATGAATAAGATGAAGTGATTAAAATTAATTTCATTTAAATTTATTTAATTTATGAATTAAAAAATAAAATTTTTAATTTACATACGTGACCATTAATATTCCACTATTAAAATTCCTTTTTAATAGCAATTACTTATCAACAAGGTGAGCCTTGTTGATGATATAGATTTTCACTAACAAGGCTTATCTTGCTGATGTTCAATTCCCTCAAAAAGTAAATTTAACTTTCAGTAAGGTTAAATACTTAATTGGGTCCCTGAACTTTCAGTTTTAGACTAAGTTCATCCTTAAACTTATTAAATTATCAAATTTATCCTTAAACTTTATTTTTTCGTTACCAACTTGTTAATTTTCCTTAAAATTTAAATTTAATTAACGTTGTAAAATGATAATTATTTAATTATATATGTTATAACTAATTGTTTTATTTAATTATTTAATTATTTACCTAGATGACCAAGTTTGAAATTAACTTCTTCAATTTTTCAATTTTACATGTGAAAATGTGGATTATATATAGAGGTTGCCAAATCATCCATATGTCGATAAATCTCACTCTAATTACCATATTACCCATGTTGCTAATTATTAGTTAGGAAGAGAGTGGCTGTTGGTCTATCTGAAAATTTTAGCAACATGGTTCTTGTTGCTAAACTTTCAGCAACAAGAACCATGTTGCTGAAAATGAAGATCATTTTTAAGTATTAGCAACATAGGTGTTGTCGGTGAAAATCCACACCATAAATTGCCAGCCAATTAGTAGGGGCATGGGAAATTAGAAAATTTTAGCAACATGGTGCTTGTTACTGAAAGTAAAGAACACTTTTTGGGGGAGTGAGTACTATTTAAGTATCAGCAACATGGGTTTTGTCGGTGAAAATTTATATCACCAATGTGCAATTCCATGTTGCTAATACTTAGTTGCTGAAAAAGAGGATTTTAGTGGTGTTATCTGAACCATTCAGAATTGCATTACTATAATGTTCTCTTGTTATACAGTTCTCTTGTTGTTTGAACGAAGGACCATAATATTCATTTGTGGGGTAGGAAAATGGTATAGTTTTCATTTCGAATCGATTAAGAAGGGAAGTAGTCGTTAGGACATGAATGATTCTTTATCCGCACCAGTCATCTCATCACACGTGATGAAATGTGTTTTTAAGTTGTTGCAACAATTTTTCATGACTTGATACAATCTTAAACCTAAGCCCCGTTTCGTATAGCGGTTTTGAAGTAATGGTTAGTTATTTTACCTAAATCGCTAAATATAGGTATTTGGTAAATTTATATACTTCAAAACCACTACAAATAAAGTGTTTAGTAAAATTTTTATTTAGCGGTTTGAGACTAGCAGATCATGGTTAGGGTCCAAACCGCAAGTGGATTGAAAAAACTAGTTTATATAGCTTTTTGTACCAAATCGTTAGCGAATTGAAATTTTTTAATTTTATTGACAAATTTATCCATTTTAATTTTTTAATTTGTGATCACACTTTTTAATTAATAATTATCTAATAAATTTCAATTTTGTTTTTTTACCTTTAATAACATTAAGTGATTATAATATTTTTT